AATCGCTGGGAGGGTATAACTTTAGAAGTCTCGTTCTCTATCCCACTTGGCTCAGAGGTCCAGAAAACCCTTGTTTAAGTAATCACGATAACCCGTTCAGATTCCTTAAGGCCTGAAGCCATTTGGTGTTCCCACTTGGGTCCTGTAAGAAAAGACGAGGAGAGAAAAAGGCAGCGTATAATAAAGAGCGTGGTAACAAAGCCCCTCTGAAAAGCTTTCCTCCCTGACGTGGCTGTGTTGTCCAGGTAAACTTCCTAAGGGCGTCTCCGAGCGTCTGAGAAATGGTCCTGTCGGGCCTGGATGTTGGCAGGGAAGGGAAAGATCAAAGGGGGGCCAGGTGCAGGGGCCATATTTTCCCTTTTGGTGAAAACGTGAAGGGAATACTTGACCTCCTTGGGGAGCCGGGGGAGACATATCTCATCGCGGGGAGCCAGTCAGGGTGGCAGGCCTTTGAGGCACTACCGATAGGACACCTGGCTGTTGGTATCAGAAAGCAGGTGTGTGGGGGCACCTGGCTGGCTCAGTCGGCAGAGAATGGAACTCTCCATCTCGGGGTCGTGAGTTCGAGCCCCCTGTCGGGCTCAGAGCTTGCTAAAAAGAAAAAAAGAAGAAGAAGAAAGGTGCTGCGTGGTTTCTTGCAGCCCTTCAGCCAACTTGTTCCATTGCTGTCTCTAATGTGATGTCTTAAAGGGGTCCCTCAGCCCTGGACCTGCCCTCTGAAGCCCAAGTCAGCCTGTCATGGAAAAGCGCCCTGCCACCCCCTCCCTCTTTAGCCACACTGTCCCTGATCTGGGCCCGAGGGCCTCAGACATCCAGGCCCTTTATGCAACCCAGCCTCCGTCATTCCCAAGAGGATTCTTTCCCCCTAAAGAAATTCTTCGCTGAGCTATCACAGTAGGCTGGCCAGACCTGTCCCCGTTTCTGGTGACATTCTCCAGGGTTTTGCTTAGTCGTTTATACACCATTCCCAGAGAAGCTGCAGGCGGAAGTGAAAGAATGCTTGGTTGACTTTTTGTAAGTCTTTTCTAGTCTGTTCTGCGGCTGATCTAGCCCTACACGCTTAGGCAGGCCTCTTTCCCTCTCCGCGCCCGGGTGTGGGGAGAGATGATTTCAAAGGGCCTTTTCAGTTCAGTCTTTCTGACAATTTCTTTGACAAGGCTGGAAGTAGCTAGGGTTCTAATCCTCAGGTCTGGACACAAGGAAAAGGCAGTTTTTTTGTTTGATTGGGAGGTTTTGGTGTTTCTGGCTTCTTTGCCTGTCCGACGTCTGGTCCCCCTTCTAGATCCAGAACCCACACTGTGTTTGGACAAGCCATTCCTCTCTGACTCACTGCAGCAGTGGGACGCACGGAGCATTTGAACCTGTCCCCTCATCCCACTCTGGCCACACTGATTGGTTCAGAGGTTGGTCTGTGACCCGAGTGTGTCCCAGAGAGACCGTTGCAGAACTTGCCGTTTCTCGCGGAGAAGAGAATCACGCTTTGTCAGAACCTTCATTGTCTGAGCCCCTGGATCCCACTGAACCTGAAGCCAGCCCTGCCCCAGGATATTTCAGTTATGTGTGCCAGTTAAATCCCTTTCCTTTGCTGAAATCACCTTGACCTGGGTTTTCTGTCGTTTGATTTCCCTGCCTCCCTAGGGAACGGAGAGGTCACTACCCCCAGGCAGGTTCCCAGAAGTTAGATCCAGGTGGTACAGAGCCAGAGTGGGAACCCTGATCTCTCCTGCCACACTGCTTGGCCCAACGAGCTTCGTCATCATTTTAGTTTCCTTTCTGTGGCCCCTTTGCACGTTTCCAAGGACCCATCCGGCAAGTCAACCTAGAACGCTGGGGCATCTCCATCGTGGTTGGTGCCAGGGGAGAATGTTTGCTTTCATTTCTGGCAGAGGCTGTTCAGGATTTCACCCCTCCTAAGCTGACCTCCCAAGATCAACTTCCTTTCGTTTGGTTTTCCGTTTTGTTTTCTTGCCCTCGTTCCAAGGACATTTTCTTGACTCCCATCCATTCCTTTAATCTGATCTTCTATATTCCACTTTCAAGACACTTCCCAGGCCTGGGTCTGGAGACCAAGTGCCTTGTAATTAATAGTTTGTTGTGGCGTAAATGACCTGCCTGCTTCCCCTTGCCCACCAGACCTCGGCACTTTGTCTCCCTTCTTTCGAGCAGCTTCTAGGGCCTCGAGTCTTTCAGGAAGCCTTATCAATATCTGAGAAAGAGGTGGCCATCTTCCCTGGCTCTGGCCCAGATAAAGTGGTGTGGCCCCTCACCCCCGCCTACCCCAGCGCGGCCAGCCCTGTCACAGCGTAAAATACCGAGAGCCCTGGACCAGGAGATAAGAGACCCGGTATCAGGCAAATATTCCAGTTAGTCTCACTCACACCCGTTCCGACTCCCTTCTGCTTTCTCACGCTCTACCACAGAGGTGAGATAGTGACATTCTCAAATTGCTAGGTTACTTTAGAGAGGCTGGTGGCCATGTGACTCAGTCCTGGCCAACGAGAGGTAAGCAGAAATCTCCGGGAAGGGTTTCCCTTCCTAAACAGATAAACATTTTCTGGAAGAGAGAACACCTTTAATCCTTGTCTTTTTTTTTTTTTTT